CCCAACAGGCCAGCCAGGTGCCTGAACAGTGTCCCCCAGCACCACCAGGCACCCCCCCACACACATACCCTGCCATACACACACAAACACATACTCACATGCCCCACCCCCCACAGCCCTGGCCCTCCAACCCCCATGCCCCATAGACTTACCTGCATGCCAGCCATGTGAGTGTGCACATGCATGAGTGTGCACATGCATGTGGCGCTCCCTGCCTCCAATCACCATTCCCCCCACTCCCCCCAGCCCAAAGCATCTCCTTGCTGGGGCAAGCCGGGAAGTGCCAGTAAAAACATTGATGCTGATCAGAGGAAAATCTCAGACATTTGATCATATTTTAAAAAACTGCCCAGATGGAGATAGGAGGATCCAAAAAAGAAGACATGTCCAAGAAAACCTGGACACATGGTAACCCTACTATTAGGATTCAGGACACTAATAAACTCCGCAATGGGGTAATACTTGTAAATACCTGCTTCAGAGGTTTTTCACATGCAGGAGTGCATGTACAAATGCTGACCCGCCTGGCTGGGGCACAATGATGCTTCAGTGCAGGGGGTGCCTGCTGGCTAACCCCATGATGAAGCACCCTCCTGTCCCAGCCAGCTCCTCTGCAGCTCATTAAGACTTGTTGGAGCAGCCTGGGGCTGGCAGGCTGGCCCCCCATGCCCCTGTCAGCCAAACCTTCTCTAACCTGGCTAAATATGCCACAGTCTAGGCACACATGTGAATGGCATGCTCAGGAGCAATACACTCTGGAGTTTATTGCTATGCATTAATGGCATGTGGAGATGCATGTGATAATAAAACTAGATTGTACACACACATGAGAGTGCTAAATTAAGGCTGCATTGCAGTTTCACTGGGGGGCTTTTCACTGCTCTCACCCTCAAGCTCTTCATCCCCCTAGCCTTCTTGCTGACTTTATCTCAGTTTTCCCCTCCTGATTCCTTATAGAAACTCTGTTCCCTCCAAAAGCTGTAGAACTTCTTACCCTCCCCCTACTTTCCATCCCAGTCTTCACCCAGGCTGCCATATCCAATCTGCTCTCTCTCTGCCTCCCAAGGTTTGAAAGGTTTTTTTTTTTTTTTTGAATGCCCCATTTCCCAAGATCTGACTCTTGCCTCCTCTTCATTTAAATCAAACTCCTTTCTCCTGTGCATTTTCTGGACTTTAGCACAGGGACTAATGAGTGCATGAGAAAGCAATTCCCAGGACAGCATGCTCTTAGCTGGTCAGGGTCTAGGTACCAGAAGTAAGAACAACCAGACTGCCTCGCTCAGGCCTCCAGTCCCAGGCTGGAGTGAACCAAGTGCAAATGGACTCTTTAGTAAATTTAGCTGAAATTCTAGTAAGGTGCAAGCAGGTGTGTACCAAGATTTTAACTCTGCTGTTCTTTTAAACAAATGATAAAAGATATTGCAAAGATACTCCAAGTACAGATATACCTAGTGTCCCCTTGCAAAATCTGTATTTCCTACTCCGCAGCTTGGAGCTGTTATAATTAATGTCTCAATTCCATTAATATGGAAGAACAATGTTTCTATCATTTTAAAAAAAGTCTTAGGTAAGCAATCAGCTTGAAAATGTTCAAGACAAAAACAGTTTCAACAGAAAATGAGAGATACACAATGATGCTTATGTTCTGTTGAAGTTC